ATATGGCATTATCATGGCTTTGAGTTTTGTCTGGGGTAATGTTGGTGTGTGAGTGTGTTTCTTTTTTTATAAATTAGGACTTTTTCTTTTTAATTATCATGCTTACCTGAATCTTCCTATGTTAATTTTTTATTTCATGTCATCCTAAGAAAGGGATTCCTTTCCACAATATTATAAACATACTCAGTTTTGTTTTCTTCTCATATTTTCAGTTTTATTTTTGTTTTACAACATTTAAGTCTTTCATTAAGTCTTAAGTTTCCACCTAAACTTCAGTCTAAGCAATAAGGCAGGGATCCAGCCTTACATTTTTCCAGATGACTAGTCATTTCTCCTCATGCTATTTAATAACCTGGCCTTTTTCCACTAATTTGGAATGCAACTTTATTAAGTACTAAGGAATGGAAAGCTAAGAGATAAATAGGTAGCTAGATAATAGTTTTACACACACATATTATCCTAATTCCTGAAGGTTCATACTATGTTTTGATATCTGGTAAAAGTACTCTAACCACTTATCCCACTTAACTTTACTAAAAAATTTTCATTAAACATTAAAGATGTTTCCCCATGTTACTTTTTTCAACTCATTTTTGAGATAATTTTAATCATATTTAAAAATAAACCGGGGCATGTGGGTGGCTCAGTCAGTTAAGTATCCAACTCTTGACTTCAGCTCAGGTCATGATATGTGAGATCAAGCCCTGAATCCAGCTCTGCACTGACAGCTCAGAGCCTGCTTGGGATTCTCTCTCTCTCTCTCTCTCTCTCTCTCTCTCTCTCTCACCCCCCCCTCCCCCACTCACGCTCTCTTTCCTCAAAATAAATAAATAAACAAAAAAAAAAAACAACCAGTTGGGATTATATTGTTTAAACTATCACTTTTCTCACTCCCTGCTACATCCTGGATATATTGAATACTAAATATTTCCCCTGCTTATAATCACTCCTGAACTTTCCAATTTTCAGCTGCCAAAGTCATGTCTAGTGCTCAAATTTAATCCTTTCCATTTGTTGCTGAATATCTGTCAGTGATACCATTCATTTGAGGATACAATCCAAGCATTTAAATGTGACATATAGGACCTCTGTCTATTCCTTTATCCTGATTTTGTATCACTTCTTATCTCACTCAGCACTCTCCCTGCCCCAGTCATTATAACACTTTGTTCACCTTCACGTTTTCTTGTTCAGATGTTCAAGTGTCCTAGAGGATACTTGCTTTAAATCTCTGCTCCACTCTACATCAAGTGTCCTTCCTTCATCAGAACTCCCATTCCTAGACTATCAAGATATACTAGACTATACTAAAATTGCCTGTTCATTTGAATCTCTTTTCCACTAAACAAGAAACCTCTTCAGGTTTCTCTCTTTTCTTTATTCCAAGAACTCACTATAGTATGTATTACAATAGACCCTCATTAATTCATGTTTATAAACAAATAAACCTAAAGTAACACAAGCTGGGGTTAATTTTATATCAGTCAGTTGATCAAATAGATTCCACTGTCTTAGTTGGGTGCAGGTAGTTCTTCTAGAAAGTGATCCCGGGAGGCACTATAGAGTTTGGGAGAAGAAAGACAGAAAAAGTGGGAATGCCGGTAAAGGGGTGTGTGGATGAGTTAGGGTCAATGGGCCTTAATCCAGCTTGGGATCTTTTGAGAAACTGAAAGTCACTTTAGGACTGCCCTTTTGGGAGAATGGGAAATCTCTGACATTTATCCACTGACTTCAGTCCAAGAGATGTCCCCAGAGGTTTTAGCTTAGCCTAAGCTTCCAGATTGTGCCTGTGTGCAGCCAAGAAAGTACACCTGTACCAAAGACCCAGGGGGTAGAACCCAACAGGCACAGGCACTCAAGTGGGAATCAGTCAGTGTTCAGGTGAACTCAGAGGAAGGCCAAAGGGACAGAGTGGATGTTAACAGCATCACCTACAATAGCTGATACTACAGCATCTGCCCCAGCACCAAGCTGAACATGTATACACTAATATTGGATATGAGCTATTTGAAGATTCTTGATGGACAATAAGGATGATTTCTATTTCCTTTAAAATACATGAGAGTTATAGACATAAGTGCTATTTGATTCAGTGTTGTGGTGGACCAAAAACTGTCCAAAGGGAAGCTCCATGTTTTTTAATGTTCTGTGTTATTATTCATTGACAAATCATATTCTCATTGTAGAACATACATTTGCTCAGACATGTGAGATTATAAAATTTGTTTATTACATTTCAACATCTTTTCCATATGCAGATTTATAGAATCGGCCTCAACAAATCATTAAGTAGCCCTGGATATCCATTATGATGCTCAACATATTTTAGTTCATTTTTATAATGTCATCAGTAATTTGAGGTTACTTTTGGGCTGCATTGCTTTTTTTTTTAAAGAGAATGAGTAGTGAGGGGCGCCTGGGTGGCGCAGTCGGTTGAGCGTCCGACTTCAGCCAGGTCACGATCTCGCGGTCCGTGAGTTCGAGCCCCGCGTCGGGCTCTGGGCTGATGGCTCAGAGCCTGGAGCCTGTTTCCAATTCTGTGTCTCCCTCTCTCTCTGCCCCTCGCCTGTTCATGCTCTGTCTCTCTCTGTCCCAAAAATAAAATAAACGTTGAAAAAAAAATTTTTTTTAAAAAGAGAATGAGTAGTGAACTTCACTTTTTTCAGTGACTGCTGTATGCAGAACCCCCTACTAATCTCAGTGGATGTATGTAGGATAAGTGGTGCACAACCTAACAAAACTTACTCTTTACAGCATAAAATACAGGAATGCTTATACTTTACGAAAATTGACTATGTATCTATTCTGGTGATGCAGAAATGAAGTTAATCTGAATTAAAAATTGGAAATAAATGAGTTTTGATAGAGATCTTGAAGAACACAATCAAACGTGGACTGGTGTTCAAAAATGGCATTCACATATTTTAAAAATACATTGTTCATGGGTTTATAGGGAAGCCTCTGAAAATTATAAACCAGAAGCATGCAGATGTTAATCTCTCTGTGGGAGCGTGCTGAGAACACCATCCTTCCCTCTGGGCATCCTGTTTCCTCTACCTAGAATATTTTTTATCTCTTCTTTAATAATTCCTGCTTGCCTTTAAGATTAGCTTAAGTCTAATCTCCTATTGTGTCTCCATAGTTTCCTATGACTACCATGACAAATTACCACAAACTTGTTGAATTAAAACAGCACAGCTCTATTGTCTTATGGTTTTGGAGGTCAGACGTCAAGTGTGGGTCTCACTGAGCTAAAACTGAGGTGTCAGTATGGCTGCATCTTCTGGAAGGTCTTGGGAAGAGCCCATTTTCTAGCCTTTTCCAGCTTCCAGAAGCCACTTACATCCTTGGTCAAGACCCCTCCCTCCATCTTCAAGGCCAAAAGTGTAGCATCTTTCTTCCTCTCTGACCTCTGCTCCTATCCTTCCATCTTCTCTCTCTGACCCTACCTCTGTTGGCTCCCTCTCATAAGGATCCTCATGTTTACATTGGGCCCATTAAGATAATCCAGGATGATCTCCCCATATCACTACTCTTAACTTAATCATATCTGCAAAATCCCTCTTGTCATGTAAGGAAACATAATCACAAATCCCAGGGATTGGGGTGTTGACATCTTGGGGCAGGTGAGGGGGCAGGGGGAGCATAAGGCAGTATTATTCAGCCTACTATGCCTCCTCTTGAAAGTTATTGAGTTCAATTTTTGAATTTTAGAATTAGTTTATCTTTCTCTGGACCCACAGCCATCTATCTCTAATATGGGAAATTTTAGAACTACTTTGAAATTTGGGGTTACTGTTTCCACCTTAACTGTTATTTCTTGATGTGAAAACTGTATTTCATCTGTGCAGTCATACTGATCTAAATTTGGACCTAGGCCTCCTCCCTTAGTTTCCTCCTGTGTGAAGGAGAAGTGTATTACAAGGTAGGTAAGAGAACAAATGTGAGAGCAAGATTCCTCATCCCAAACCTCTGTCCTAGCACCTAATTGTATGAAGCAGCACCAATTTTTCAGTTTTCTTATCTATAACATGGAAATGATTACAACATTTAACACATTCACTTCTTGTGAGCATTAATGAATGGACACATGAAAATTACTTAGAACAGTGATTGCTCTAAAAGTACTTAGAGTATAGTATTCACTCAAAACTGTTAGTTGTTATTATCTCCCACCTGTGAGATTATAATAAAGATTTAGGAGACAGTCGATAAAGCCACAGTACAATGCCTGGCACACAGCAAATTCTCAATACCTTCTACCTTTTGATTGATCATCATCATCTGTATTAAATACAAGTTAAAGAAGTCAAATTTAGTGACGAAAATGCTGTGTTTCAAAGGTAAGAGTTTGGTGAAATGTGCTCAACTCTAGGCTAACAATCTGAATTTTTTCAGGCTCTATTATCCTCAGGTTCAATATGGTCACGAAAGGTCAATAATGGTGTGATGGATAGATTTTATTAGTTTCAATGATGAAATAATAATAGTAATAACTATCAGCTTTTAAATACTACAAACTGCTTTCAAATACATTATCTCCTAGGGACTTGATGTGACTTAATGTTTATTCCAGACAGTATCTAGCAGGCTAATGGCTATTTGATTATTTAGGCTTCATTGGTGTGATCTTTGTCACACAATAGCCTTCATGTCCTTTGTATTATGAAATTTTCAAGTGTTACCCATTGCTTCCAAGGCAAACTGAGCCATTCCATTCAAATGTTTACAGTAAATAGAACAGAAACTTGTGGAATCGTCTTCCTCTCTCATAAATGAAGCAACAGCAAAGTGGTACAGCATCTCAGCTGTTCCAAGTTCCTCAAATAAGTTTTACTTTTGCAAAACGAACTAACTTCCTATATGTTGTGAGCTGCGTTATGAGCAACATGACCGGCAGCCACGTTTGCTGTAATTTTTTAAATATGTGGAAAAAAAGCAAGATATCGACCATGTATTACCTTAACCAAGATGCCAAATTATCTAACTTGTTTCTCCAGGCAAGCAGTCCAACGACAGGGACAGCTCCCAGGAGCCAGTCAAGGTTGTCTGTCTGTCCATCCACTCAGGACATCTGCAGGTAAGTGCTCAGCAAATGATCCTATTTAAATATTTTTTAAACCAACGTTTTGTATTCCTCTCCTGTATTATGAGACTGTGTGGCTCTTGCTTCTGCCTTGCATTGTCCATGGACAATTTATACTGGTTCAATTTTTCCCCCTTCAATGCATTTTCTTCATTTGAACTTTATTTCCCAACTTCTGGTCCATGCTATCATTTTCATCATTCTCTCTCTCTGTTTTCCCATGGCTTTCCTCTCCATTCCCATCTCCCATCCTTTGCCTGCTGCTTTGTCTAGATCTGCCATCTTGCATGACATGTCAGAAGATGCATTTGAGCAATGCACCCCTGTCATGGTGCTCAGCCCTGCTAGGAAGGAGTCTGGTAAGAAATCAGTAAAACAGAGGCCTAGGAGGAGGAGGAGGGCCTCCGAGAGATATGAGCATGCAGAAGAACAAATAAAAGGGAGAAGTGATTTTCACCTCCAGATCGCAAGCCCCAGATGGAGTGAGCTTTACACAGATTCTTCAGATTCCTCTTCCCCAGATGAGAGTCACTGGATTCAGGCAAAAAGAAGAGCCCAAGTTAAATTCCGACTGTCACGAAGAAGAAGGAGAAATAGTAGTAAACCATGTGGAAACTTGGATGGGTCTTCTGCTCCTAATGGAATGGATGTGATAGATTTGGAATCCAAAGGTAAAAAGCAACAAGAGCTGATTGAACATGAGAGTTGCTCTTTACATCTCTGCAGAGGAAAAGGCACAAGGTACCAAGAATGCAGCCTTTCCCTGCCAAGAGGATCCTTTGAGATTAAGAGATCCTCAAGGAAGCATGAGGAAAGCAAAGGCAGATACCACCACAGGGATCCGCAGCTGTTGCATAGTCTTGGGCAGTATGAAACCATCAAGAAAGGACTTTCAGAAGCAGATTCTAGCCCTGAAATATTGGCAGTTGCAGAAGGCAGCAAGTATGTGGCTGCTGCTGGGTTCCAGGTGACTAACTCTATGCAGAAGCCTCCTGCTACCTACCATGACGGGTCTGATAATTTAAAAATATGCAGGTCAGTCACTATAGAGAAAGGCTTGATGCCATCCACATGCGTTTCTTCCCGCTGTGTGTCAGGTGTGTGTTTGACACCTACCCTCAAAACATAACATTTATTTATACTGTTATCTGTCTGATTGGATGTAAGGTAAGAAAACAAGAAAAGGTGTGTGAGAGAAGAAGAATATGGAAGTATCTAGGGGTCTGAAAGCTGTTCTAGAATAGAATTAGATTTCCTCTTTACCTTTCCCTTAATTGGATAATGACTGATCCTGTTAAATGGATCGACAAACAGTTGGATCTGATACCCATTCTATTTAAGACAAGACGAGTGGAGTAAATATGAGTGAGAGAGTGTATGAAACTTTAGGTCCTTTAATGCAAATTTGGTGAACTGTTAGCATCCTGATGGAAAGATATTTAAGGCTTGGGTTTTTTAAGGTCAGATTTTTGTACCAAAAAAATCTCCTCTGCAGTTGGTGCTAATTTGTTCTCCAATTGTCTGACTCAGCAGGGTAATTCAAGACTGAAAGGACAGAGAAACAGGTCATGGACATATCAGTGGGGGCGCTGGAGCCTTCAGGGAAGGAGAACACATTAACTTTAGTGATAATCATGTACTAAAAGGTGTCAACATGTAGACATTTCATAGCTATGAGACTCTTTTCTCCCACTTTTCATCCATCCATATACATTTTCAGAATAACTTAATGTGAATAAGAATTATATGAATATCCATGCTGGTGTGCACAAATCAGATAATTTTAAACAAAACAGATAGTTTTACATTTTCATGTTATACCCAGTCATTTAAATTGGTTAGATTCTGTTTGGGAGCATATGAAGTTTTTTTGGGTAATTCTTGGTTGTTTGGGCTTGTTTTATGAAAGTCAAAGTTGCTTTAGAAAACGTGTGTGTGTGTGTGATGTGAATCACATGACCCAGAAAATACTGCCCATGTCCATTCAAGACAAGACAAGGGGAATTAAGCTCTGGGTGTAAATAATATTATAATAGTTTGTTTCTCTGAAAGTTTTATAAGATATTTATAAATTGTTTATTCGTGGATTCATTCAAGCATCTGTGATACATCAATTCTAGGCATTAAAAATATTATAGTACTTGTCCAGTCTCTGACATCTTAGAGCTTACAGTCTAATGGGAAACACAGGAACACAATAATTTCACAGTTGATATATAATTACAATTGTGATAAGGAATATGAAAGCACATAACAAGGAAGCTTTACCTATTCTGCAAGATGAGAGAAGAACTCTCTTGAGGAGCTGATGAACTGACTGAGGCTCAAAGGATGACAGGAATGGATCAAGGAAAGAAACAGGGAAGATCATCTGGGCAGAAGGTGGCACAATAAGAAGTCAGGAGGAGGGAAGGAGTTTCGCAATCCAGGGAACTGGAAGTGGGCTTCTGTGGCCAGGGTGTGGTGAGCGAGGGGGATGGGTGGTGCAGAGGAGGAGGGGGGAGGTGGAGAAGGCCTTGTCAAACATGCTCAGAGATTTAAAGGAAGTGGCACCATTTGATTTATATATTGATGGAAGTTTCTTATAATCCTTTGAATATGATTTAAGTGAGACTTTGCTAAAATGTTGGAGGATGGAATAAAACACTATTTCTAGTCTAAACTAAGAACTCCCCACTTACAACCATCTGTCGTCATTCCCCGAATCTACTTCCAACATAATTTAATGAAAGTCAGTTAAAGAAGCTAGTGGTAGGCTTAATGGTAATTGGAGAAAAAAGTAATGCTTGCAATTAAAGTCATAGTGGCTGGTTCTCCTAACTTAAAAGCACTGCTCTGGAGGAACATTTTCAAAGACAGGATATTTAACTTAGACTTCTGTTAATGAAAGTGAGATTGATGGGCCTATAGTTATTATTTCTTGCTGTGGGTTATCATCAAAATATATCCACTAAGCCAATACCAGGGCTGCATATTATGCTAGATGCTGAGGGCAAAATGCAACAAAAGACTTGATTCTTTCCTCCAGTGGCCTGTTATCTAGTGGGAGAAATTGAACACATAAGTGAAAAGATGCAAATTCAAGATAGTACAGGGTGAATTAAAAAGAAAAGAATACTGCAGAAATTTGAAGAAAGAAAAATTGCTGAGAGCTGGAACAATCTGGAAAGCCCGTAAGAGGTGGGATTGGGACAAAGAAAGGTAGAATTAGATTGGCAGAGACGTATGGATAGGCATTCTGGGCACTCAGGGCAGGGGAAATACCATAAACCCAGACAGAGATGAGGAAATGACTGTGCACTGAAGAATTTTGTGTGAATTTATATGACTAGGTTGGAAAGTTTACATAGATAACAATTCAAACAAACAAACAAACAAACAAAAAGACTTGTAAAGGAAACATATGTATGTTTCCAAAGAGTTCAACTACGTTCTACACATCTTTGTTCTCAAACTGCCTCGATGAGCCTTTTGATACCAAAAAGGCTGCCTCAAAAGCTGAGAACAGATCAAGGAGATTGTGCTCCCTTTAGCCCATCTTCAATCAGAGAAGCTTCATGATTATCTCTTGTATGTAACGGGGTTCTACATAGTATCCCTTTAAGAAAAACAAATTTCACTGCAAAAAATAATACAGAGGAGCCTTTGCTAAACAGCATAGGCCTGATGAAGAAAAACATATATACAGAGTAGTCCCAGTGTCCCGGGCCGGTGGGGGTAGGTGTATTGGGAAAGGAACCTAGATTTAAGAGAACAGGTTGTAATAAGGTAGAAGTATCCAACTTTGGGGTAAGTAGGATTAGGATAATAAGGAGTAATGAAAGGAAAGAACAGATGGTATACTGGCATTCCACTGGGTGAATAGAAACAATCTTGGTGCTTGGAATTGGTAACAGCATAAGATAAAGGAGTCAAGGAGGACTCCAAACCTTGGAACTTGGGAGACAGTAAACGCTGATGTTACTGACAAAGTCAGAAGAGGTCAGAGGCAAGCTGGTTTGGGAAAGACATGATGAGTTCAATTACAGGCAGGCTGTTTGTGGTTGCAATGACATTGCAGGGTCAGTTGTCCAGCAGATAATATGAGACATGTCAGCGAAAGGCAGGACAGCAATCACAGCTGGTTCTGTATAATTTTTCAAGCATTAGACAACTATACACAGATCAACACTAAACAATTGCATACTTGCAACTGTCATTAACATGATGTGTTAGCACAGGGCAATAGCACAAAGATACTAAAAATGAAAATCTTCTCAAGGCCAGGGAGGACAGATAGATTTGGGTATCATTCTCAGGCAGGTAACCGGGATGCCTGGGAAGTGAATGAAATCTCTAAATGAGCTCATACGCAGGAAAAAGGCCCCCACATGGACACAGCCTGAGCACCAGAGTCCCCTGTGCAAGGAAGAGAAACAGCAATTGCCTGTGAACTTGCACTCTTGCTGCTTCAGACACGCATGGGCAGAACCCGCCTCAGCCACAACCACAAAGCAGAAGAAGCTCCTAAGCCCTTCCTCCTTTTCTGTTCCTGGCATTTGGTTCCCATATAGACACCCTACCCTCTCTCCCACTCTCATCAAAGCCTTATTCGGAGAAAGTTTCTCTATTAGCCAATTACAACTTACAGGAAATTTAAGTCATCATGCTAACACACCCATAGCTGTGTAGTGGGAAAGGCTTTATCTTCTTCATACAAAAAAAAAAAAAGTTTTTAAAACATGGGTTAGATCATGTTAGCCCATACTTAAGGCTTTTCAATGGCCTCTCAATTGCCCTCAGAGGCAAGTTCAAAATCCTTAATATGATTTACAAGTCCCTGCATGATCTATCAGATCTGCCTCTCCAGCTTCAACACCCACCATTAATGAAGACCTGTTCCTGCTAGTCTGTCTTCAGTTCCCTGAAAGTGCCCAGACCTGTCCCTTTCAGAGCCTAGAATGTCTTCACAGCACCCCCTCTGCCCTTCCCCAGATGAAATCCTACTCATTCCT